TACTTTATGTATTGCCTTTGACCAGAAATGTAATAAATGTGTAAAATGATGCAAATAAAGAGGATAATTATGAAAAAGTCCGAACAGAACCGATACATCGTCGGGACAACTGGATATGGCGGTTATATTTCCAACGTTTGGTCCGAATTTTCGGAGTAAAAGTGATACCTATCCTACACTGGTCCCAAGGGACAGTTTCTCTCTACGCATATAATATTTATTGGGCTCAAGTTTCTCTTTACAATGATTTGAATAGAAGCAGTATCTGATAATTATCTATACTGTTAGGTACATGTATTTATAGTTGGTGGGATTATATTACATTGCAGTTATAACAAGTGTAGAAAATATTTTGAATATATTCACTGTAAAGGCCCACTTCATTCAAAATAGTAGCATGGTTTTGGGAGATGGGGCTTTCTCTTTCCAAAATTTTAAAAATGCCCACACTACCTTTTCTGTCCAATTGAAAGATCCCACATTTCAATCAACAGAAATATAATAGACTGATATCTCTGTCCTGAAATTTTTTATTCATTGCGCACTGCACGACCATTTTGTATATATTTTTTGTGTGTGTGGTCATTGGCATATTTGCACACTGCAAATAGTCAAAAGTCAAGTGCAGAAAAGAAGGGGGTAAAACTCCGTTTGAATTCATTTGAACTATTTTAAATGAGATTGTGTTGTGTTGTGTCAAACATAACAGTGTGGTATTCCAGCAAATATTAAGATATTCCCACATTACACACTGCATGGCGTTGCCTGTCTACAGTTTATTTTGTTGCGAGGAAGATTGTATGTGGTGGCCTTGAAACCTCAAGATTTACGACCATTATAATAGTGGCATAATGATAAAACCCTGGATAGAAATGTCGGTTAATATATTTAATGGTTTCAAACATTAGGTCATAGACTATCGCTACTATCACAACAATTTCTTTTAACTTCCACACACATCACTGTCTAGAATAGTGATATGAGACTTCCATTGGTTACAGCTTTTACTCTTAGCCAATAAAATTAATGGTTGATAAAACCGGTTTAAGAAGAAGACCGAAGTGAATTACATGTAATATGGATATGAATAACGTGTTGCATATTTTGGGTTAATGGTTGTTTTGATGTCGCCGGTTTTGAGCTTGATATAGTATGTTCTACTTGGGATACAAAAGTGTTTGTTAGCTATTTGAATATCTCATGTTTACGTTCTAAATGGTACCCAATTTGCTGACTGAACTAAAAAATTGAAAAATCTAAAATATGTATGCAAAAAGTTTTGAATTATGTATAGAATATAACACAGCACAGAGTTTGTATGATATTATGAATTTCGAGGATAAAAATATTTTTTTGACTTATAAACCGACATGGACTCATTTGCTGGGTTTTTTGTTTGGAAAAACGAGTAATGATAATGAAATAAGGGGCGCAACTCGTGACTTTAAGATTGGTTTATCAACCAGTGAGCTAGACTTAATAATTGTAAGTTGGCTTGGTAGAAGTGGCTAAATGTACCATTTGATTTCCGAGGAAGAATACCACGTAATATATCAATGAGAGGGACAAGAACAAGGAAATGAGCCTATAGACAACACGAGGAATCCCGCACAAATGAAAACTTCCAATGGGCTCGATCACATTAGACCCAATCTCATATGCAAAGTATAAGAAAAAACGCGTCGCTCGAACACAACTTGCACTTGATAGTGTACACTGGAGTTAACCAACGTAATCTCTATTGTTTATAAATCCGAAATCTGGATTAATGAGAAAAGATGCCTTATTCAGTTAGTAGTCCTATCCTTCGATAACTAGATAGCCAGATAAAAAGGAAGATGACTTATTCATTACCATTTAAAGATGGATCGTCTAAAACCCTGGTTCCCAATCTGGGGTGTTTTCACCCCCTGGAGGTGTGGGACTATGGTATCAGGGATGTGGCCAACTGGTTTAGGAGTAGAATTTGTTTGGAATGGAGAGAGCACCTCACATCAACACATGCTGAAAATGTGGACGAAACAAATTTTTGGGGGTGTGTAAAGTCCAGGTGATTGCTCCAGTGAGGGCTGAGAAAAGTTGGGAATCACTGGTCTAAAATAATGAGGAAAATGATTTAATCAACTCAAGATCAATAAACTTTCGAACGCCGACCGAGATTAAAACCCACGGCCACTATTTTTGTGCGATATAAGGATTAGGACTAGCTTAGCAAATGACTGATTGTCGACTGCATTCTAAATATAGATATGATCTCAGTATCCAATCATTATCCAGGATGGATCGATAACTGTCCTACTTTTCAACAGACTAATTCAATACAATTCTGCTATCTTGGCATCTTTTATTCTACAGATTTACTTGGTGTTCTGGACACTACAACTTAGTATAGGAATTTTTTTTCTCAATAGAATTCTGCCTCGCCTACAAATACTTTTCATTAAAGACGAAAGACTGTAACTTCTTAACAGTGGAACTTAGGACGTACAACATTTTATTTACTTATGTTAATTTTAAAGCTGTCTTTTACGTTTACATATCGATAATATGACGTAATAATCTGTACAAAAAAATATCAATAACATCCTGGAGGTGACGTAAGTCGAAAATGGAAGGGTGCGATTTTGTTGAATTTTATGAGAACCGACATAGTTTTGATTTTAATAAAGGGTTAAAAATACCTGGAAAAGACTTCTGTGGTCCCTGCAATTTCTCTAAAACTCAGTGTTTGATGACGAAAGCCTCTTCGCGATTAGTGATGTCATATCATCAGGTTTAGTGGATTTGTAAAAACAACAGACATCTGATTGAAAATTGGGGTGCAAATTGATGCTATCAGTGTCCCCGGTACACACAATTTTTTATAAAACCTCTTTAAAATCTCTTTAATATTTGAAAAAATAATCTTAATTTGAAAGGTTATAGTACATTGTAATATTTAGACCTCATTAAAATTTCATAAAACCTTATCTTTAGTACATATTAAGTACATATCGAAACTTCTGGTCTATATCAAACATATACTATTTTTACCCCAATGACTAATCTGAATTTATTAAGCTATTTTGGCCTCAATTCTTATCGAATTGTACATTGATATATAACTTAAATTTATTGGCCTTTAAATAAATCATTGTATTAAATTAACTCTTATAATATGGTGTTCACTCTTTGAATTTTATTCTACGCAACGTTTCTAAAAATTACAATGTCAATCCTTACGTTTCGACAATTTTATGGTATAGGCCTATGCTGAGTTTTATAGTACACAATGTTTCAACAATTTACCATTTTATGACAGGCCCTATTCACTCGAAGTTAATTTCAAACATCGTTTCAACAATTTACCATTCTATGTTATACTTCTCTTGGTTAATCGAAAAAAACTTTATACTATTCTTGGTTACAATTTTTGGGTCATTGTACATAACGTTTGAACATTTTACCATCTTATGGCAGGCCCTATCCCATTCTATGTTAAACTACTTTTGAGTTATTCATGCAAATTTACCATATACTTATCCTTTTTGTTATATGTACAAATATACGTTTCTAAAATTTACATCGTCAATCTCTACACAATTTTCTGTTGTAAGCTTGGTAGTATTGATATAACAGTACTATGCATTGAGATTCGTTTGTGAGAGACATTTCAACAATTTAATTTGTCACTATTACCAAACATAATAGGAACTTTTTCAATCCCAGGCTACCGGGTGAATACAATGATCTGTTTTGATATTTACAAAAGAATTTTTTTCTGGTGCTTGATTATTATAGTAAGAGTAAGATCTATTCATAGAATGAACAAATCTGAAAGAAACAAGTTGGTGGTGTAATATATGTAACCAAGACACCGCTAATCACAATGTAAAAGTATTTTATCAGATTTAATTACCCATTGCATATCATGTTATATTTAGAAATGTTTTTTTGGTAATAAATAACATAGTCGTGTAAGGCCATGTATACCGGCCGGCGAGATTATAATTAATTTTGACGTCATAATGTAGGCCTACATCTAACTGTTGTTTACAGGTGTGCCCTTTTCCACCTGACGACGGACTATATGTTTTGAATTAGGCCTATATAATCCTGACAATCCTATACCTCCTACTAGACCCCACCACCATTCCACCCTGTTGAGTCTCTTCTCAAATAAATGACATCCAAGCTATGATTGAGCCCTTTAGACTTTTATTCTCAAAAAACGAAATGGAATTTCCCCTTCTCTTTTCCTGACGAGTGGGGGTACATGTATGGCAGTGCAATCCGGACGATGGATAGAGCCCTAACTTCATCGTCGCACAAATGTACACGAAATTAAACAGTTATATCAAGCATGTTTTTCAAATCGTCTAGAAATGCAGGCTAATGTCATAACCACAGAACGACCTTGAGATTAGTCAAGTCCAAAGAAGCAGACGATAATTCGAGGCCGCCTGTTTCGATGCCAGTTACCTAAAATCTCAAAATCCATCAATCGTTCAATCCTGTTTTCTAATTCTGGATATGACGGAATCCATCCTACGATTTCAGACCATTATGTCATCTTCCATGGGCGAAAATTGCACGTAAAATTGAATCATTCCTATCAGCTGTTCAAAGCATGCTTTTGTACTGTCCATGCTATTTATAGAAAATCACAAAGGATTGCAGAAAATTATATTTAAAAATTTTCTTTTATTCAAAATTTTCCGTGACGACATCAGTGCATTTGCACCTAAATATGTCGCATTTGATATAATAGAGCAAATTTCCAAATTTGACGAATGCAAAATTCTTAAAATTGTCGTTTTGCGATTCTGGAACAGCCACCGAATTTCACAACTACTCAATTTCCTTTCGATTCTCGGTAATGAAATAAATACAAATATCAATTATCCAGCCTTAAATTCCTATATCATTTTAACGATATCACTGGTGAATCAAGACTGTAAATTGACCGTTATTTTGTCTGTTCACGTGAAAACTGAATGATTGTGGCCCAGTGAATATAAGAGCAGTGATAACCGAATTTCCTTCAGAACGTGCCGCTACTCGACAGAGAAACTACAAGAGACATACATTTGTGTTATAATTAAAATATATTTGAGGATTTATAAAATTATTGAAGGTATATATCATGTATTTCTGAATATTATTTTATATTTTTGATAGAATTTCTATGATCGCACAATATTATTAGATCGACCGATATCTGCACTTTCACTTGAAATGTATAATAGTAAAAAAGGTTTCAAATTTTGTAAACAATAACATTCAATTCTAATGGTTTGTAAAAAGTATTGAAATTTATTGTTAAAAAACATATACAGCAATATTTATCCAGTGTCAATAAGTGAGATGTCGTGAACTTGTGAACTCTAGAAAATCTTTGTTTGGTTTGACCGGGTGGATTGGATCAGGCATTGGTATTACAATTAGGAGTATAAGAATTCGTGGTCTATGCGTGTCTCTAATTATATAACCGGGTTCGGCAAGGTGTTATTATGTACATATATTTAGAAACCCAGAGTTTCACCACGCGCATTGCACGTTCTGATCAGCTGATAATGCCCTGTCTATTGTGGTTAACACATTGCGCATGCGTGGTGTCGGCATGCCTGAGGAATGATCAATGCGTGATAAAACGATGGAATTTTCATGACTGGAATTATTTCACAAGGCGTCGGTAATTTGTGATATAAATTTAATAATTTAGGCCTGAATAAATTCATAACTTTTGATTAAACGAAATATTTTATTTAATTATCACTAGATTTCAAAATGAATTTGACATCATTTTTCTAATTCGTTTAAAAGAAAATATTAGTGACGTCAATTTTTTCTTTTTATACTTCTAAAACTTTTCCTAATTCGAAAAGTTTTTTTACGCACGGTGACATCATTGGTGGGAAAAGTGACGTCACCCTCGAATGACGTTATGGCGGGATAGTTGTGCAATAATTTGGCGCCAAAGTCTTTAGGTGAATAAACCTGACTTTGCTTTCTGTAAGCTACTTTTTTGAAACTAATTAATAACGTCAACATAGCTTTAAACATTTATGGAGAAAGAAAGATGCCGTAGGGTTTTGTTTACCGAGATAGAAAAGCATGATATTTTTAGTTTTAAATGAAGGATTTCACGAGAATAAAAGCTTTCTAAATGATATATAGTTCAATACATTGAATTACGCAATTTAACCATTTGCGCTACAGTTTAGAATGAACTCGTGTAGTCAAGTCAAAATAGGTCGAAATGCATTTGTTTACGGTTGAACGAGTACACATGAAAATAGAAACACATTTTATTTGATTGATGAATGCTTTTGGATGGCAACAAGAAATTCAATAACTCTGATTGGTTGAAGTCTCTGACCTCGGGGTCATCTGAATAACTTAACCGACTTTAATCAAAACAACCAACTTTTTAACCGACATTTTTATTTTGGGTAAGATTCGTATGAAACAAAGAAAGTTAGATATAGGTCGGCGTTTTATGAGATAGTTTGAGAGTAGAGGCAAGTGTTAGGTCAAGTCTTGCGTCAGTTAGAAGGATGTTATTCAGAATTGGCTGATGTCAACTGACAAATAAAAAGTTTCATTTGAAAGTGAATGTTTGTGTTTATTTATGATGTGGTCATTATTTATTGGACTTTATAAGATGAAACACTTATAGAACTGAATAAGCTTTGAAAATAGAAATTAAAGTTTTGTTAGGTGATATTTCTACACTCAATAAAATATGGCATTTTTACTTTTATAATTGTATTCAGGAGGCCTACTCAAATCAATTTTAGTTTATAATTTTGTATTTCTAATCAACCATATTTTTGGTTTTCAGACAAACAATTCAAGATGTTGGACTATGAATTTAACCAGAATGAAGTCAAGATGATGAAACGTGGAAATGAAAGTTTGGTTTCTGCAGGGTATGATGGCGTCAGCTCATCCCTCGCCATGCCAGAAACACCCAAAGATGGTATTGTCGTCAAGGTGAGTTTTTTACATATTGCTTTACAGCATTTGATACCATGCAGTGTGCAGTAAAGGAAGTTATCTCCAGTTCAGCTGATCAAAGCAAGTAGTTCTACGTAAAGAATAATATTTGTGTAGAATTTTATATAATCTTTTGAAAGATTTAGATCCAGTAGAAAGGATTAAAAGAAGGGATCATTATATTTGAAATTTACATAGTTTAATATATTTTTTCTAATTCCAGGTGGCTTATCTAGGTGCCTGTTATTCTGAAGGATTACGTCGACGAGGTGCCAAACCCTCATTTCCAGGCAACGAGATTGGAGGTTACATACACGATATTTCAAACACAGTACCAAACTGTAATTTCACAAGGGGAGACAAGGTTATATTGTTCCCAACAGAAGATATCATAGACCAAGGTTATGTAGAATATATCGCAGTTGAAGATACAACACATGTCATTCAAGTACCAGAGGATATGCCACTAGAGGTCGCCACCATGTTGCCAGGTTCGGCACTCACTGCTTATTCTGCTGTATTAAAAGCTAAACCTCATGTAGAGAAACTTCAACAAGTTAAACGTAAGTGAAATTTTTAACAAAAAACTGGATTTCCTACATTTAATTAGTAACAAGTCTTCTTGGTGTATTTAAAACATTTTGAAAATTTTTTCAAATTTATCCTTTTTACATATTCAGAGGCCAAAATAGTCATATTTCTAATCTTTGAAATTGATAAAAATTCATCACTTAACATTAACTCTGCTGTCATATCCTTTCAATTTTGACATTCGACTGATTGTGGTTAATGGACTTGTAGCGTAATATTTTCAGTGAAGATGTTCGAATTTGCAAGATTTTTTGTTAATTTCAAAGATTCTTATATATTTTCAGCGTGTGTAAACGTACTGATAGTTGGAGCAGGTGGTTTAGGATTATGGTGCTTACAGCTTGCTCAATATCTCATCAAATCTTTTGGTCAAAACAATGTTCGTATCTTCATGGCCGACAACAGTATAGATAAATTATTGGTTGCTAGCGAACATGGTTGCTATGACATCATACATTGGAACGAAGAAGATCACGAACAGTATATTGTAGAACGAACCCTGGATGCTTGCCGCGGTGGTGTGGATGTCATTATTGATTTAGTCAGTTCACCAAGAACCAATCAGAGATCTCTTAAAGTTTTAAACAGAGTGAGTTTTTCTCTCTTGTTAAAAATTCTTTTCAAAAATCGATTGTTATCGAGGAATCCTTTTGATCCTTCTAAGAGTTTAAAATGACTTTAAAGCTACTAATGACCTTGAATAGCTCTGACCCAAATACTATATGTGAACTCTTTGAAAGGAGGGTTGGCAAACTTAAATACTTAATCAACTTTAAAAGGGAATAGATTGTCACATATTTTGTCTGTATATGTATTATATATCAATGTATATTTAGAACTGAATAAGATAATATATAGAATGGTTGTATATTGCAGGAAGGACTGATATTGGTTGGAGGTGATAGCATGTCTAACAGTAATGTCTCTATAAGCCTCAACTCTCTCTCAGCCAAACAACAGAGTTTAGTTGGAATACCAAAAGGAAATTTGAATCAACTTTATGATTTATTACATGCTGTTCAGGAAAATAAGGTGAGGGAATATTTAGATTCCAGTAAAGGAGGGTTGTTGTTTGTTTATGAGTGGGGCATTAGTTCTTAACCTTTGGTTATTGCTGAAATTTTTTGGAAGCTATTCATAATATAATCATTTGGTTGACATAACTTCAATTCCAAGATTACAGTGCATGGGTCAATTTCTACTTTCTGCTTTCTTTAAAGTTCTTATGAAAAGTCTTGTATTTGTGTTACAAGCAAAGGCAGTGAATAGTTAATCCTTTTCAGGTGGTAATTTGCCTCATTTTAAATTTTATTATCTTGTATTTTCAGATCACTCCTCCCAGCTATGCCGTATTCCCAGTTGAAGATGCCAATCAGGTGTACGAGGATATTCAGGATTGCCGCATTACTGGTAGAGCCATCTTCCGATTCGTTAACAGTTCATCTACGATGGATAACAGTCCTACAACAACCTACTGAACTAGTGATATAAACCAAAGACAATAAATAGAATCTCAAATATAAAAATGCTTCGATATTCGTTGCCGTGATGGCACAATTTCGCTCTGTGAGGAATTCAGATTTCGACCAATAGAAGAATATAGAATTCAACAGATACAACTTTGTTGAAAAAAAAAGAATTTTTTCCAGTTGGCTGTAGCAGTTGATTCCATTTAGAAAACAACATTATTCTACAAAAACTGAGAAAAGTTCTGAGAAATATTTTGAATTTTACAGCTTTATCATGTTACTATATTATATGTGTTACTAAGTGTTACTAACAAACAAAAAAACTCCAAAAATTGTCAAACATTTTGATATAATTAGGGCATTTATAAAGTGCTAATTCATGAGACAATCAATGACAAATGCATTAATTGGTGATCGCTAGATATTTAATAATACTGATGTGAATTAATATGGTGTAAAAATGGAAGTGCTAGGTGAAAGATGATATAGATACTGAGAAATATAAGAAGTGTTGGAGGGCACGGTTGTTGCTGGAGATATAGGGGAGGGTTTGTAGATAATTGCTGCATGACGCAGTAAATCATATAGTGCAGGGAGCAGAGACTGAAGAGAAATGCCTAGTCTGATTCTATCTTGTATCTGAGATTGTCATTCTTTACTAATATCGGACAGCATGCAAGAGGAGAGACAAAGTTGGTAGACCTGAAGTTATATTAACATTGTAAAATGTATGCTATCAATCAGGATCAGTTGATTAAGAATTGGGCAGGGCATTTCCGGTAGAAACTTTCCAGGATAAATTATGGATGTAGTCTTAATCCGGTTTATTTTTTATTGTCTGTGATGTTTATTTATAGAAATAGGAATGATGCATTTTGGGAAATGGAAGACTGAAATAGTCAAGTTTAAAAGGATTTGGTAGTAAGTTGAGATAAATTAAAAACATTAGTAGAGGATGAATATGGTACAGGTGTAAAAAAAAAAAATGGATTCCTAAATTTTACAAAATGCATTAATCAAGGAAATGTGCATTGCAATCAAAATATGCACTACTGAAGTTAGTCCGAAACCTGTTGACTTTAATGTAGCTGTTAGTTTGCAGATGTCTGCATGGTTCTCATTTAGCCAGCAAAGGTCTGGTAGTTTCAGACTATCTTCTAACCGATGTTATGTAAAAAGTACTTCATTTCATTTTGTATATAAGTCATCGAGTTCATCATATAGTGATGCAGATTCGTTAAAATATTAATTTGATGTTGGAAATCATGAAGAGAATTTTGAAGTTATGATTGGTTACCATAGTAACAGATTTATAATTCTTATATTGGATCTAATAGTTAAAAATCAGAAAATTTAGTTTTATTGAAGCTTGCCAAAACTATTGGAGAAAAAGTTATGGCGCATCAGCTACCTTATAAAGGTGAAGGTCGTGTAGATTACTATGGTAACCAAAGGTTGTGCTATATTATTATTATTGTAAATATTTGTTTTATGTTGTTGTTTTTTTGTACTGAATGAGCGATTGAAAGATGATGTTAACTTTATAAAAAAAAATGAAAATACTAAAAAGAAAAATTAAAATTTGAAATAAAAAAAATCTGTTTTCTTTCATTGTTGAGATGGGTGGTGTTGGAAATAACATATGAGCGAGAATTGGCATTTGACATGGCATAGTTCTTTCATTCAGCCTTATCTTCTGGACTATGTCACAGATAATCTGAAAAACAAGATGAGCTTTTACAAGCCTGTCTTTGGCCAATGCCACACTGCAATACTTCAAAGTTACCGGAAATAGTAGACACACTTTTCTGAGAAGAAAGAGTCAACAAGGATGGGTTCGGATTGCTCGTTTGTGCAGGATGAATGAATTGCATTGGGTTTCTGAATTAGTACCAAAACAAGCACTAGGGTTTGGACGAGACCAAGTTTGTCATTTCGAACATGTTGGTGATAATTAATGTGCTGAACCCTCTCATGAGAGAAGCTCACAACACAAATGGCAATATGTCGATCAAACGATCACCAAACCATGCACTCGGGCAATGATTTATGGAACGGTTGCTGTTAAAGGCCTTTGCCATGCTTGAATTCCAACCCAATTCCCTTTAAGTTGAAAGCACTTATAGCTAGTTTTGTCAATGTCTGGTGATTTCAATGGGTTAAGGTTCACAAGGTGGTCTGGTACAAAGAAAATAATAACACCCGAGTCGTAGTTCTTATATCCACCATTCATTAATCAATTTTACTTGTTAGTAGCAAAAATTTGTTCCGATCTTGGAACTTTTCAGCCAACCCTCATTAATATGAAACAACCAATAGGCACCCAATCCCGAGATGCTTTACCATTATGCTTTCTGACAAACATATTCAATCAGTCACCTCATTCCTCAATTAAAATTTGACCTTAACGTCTTGAAGGGACAGATGCGCCATTTTCTTGACCAATTATACGTTAGTCACAGAAACTCAGAAATAAGTGTTCACAGCTCAGCGTCCAAATTATCAGGTTTATCCGCGTTTGAAAGTTACAAAGACGAGTCGTCTATTAGTGAGACACTGCCATATATAGAAAAAAACATCTTTAGAAGAAAGAAAAGAAATTTCTAGTTTGAGATATATTTGAAGGAATTCTGCGATATTCGAACATTTCGAGTACTTCTGAAGACTATTTACATATTCAACCCCCCAAAATGTTCCTTTAATGTATATGTACACAAAACGAGGATGTAATGCATATATACATATAAATATGTAAATACAATTTAAGGTTATCGACATCATACACAAGACGATCAATCCACTGCATATTCTAGATGTCACGTATGTTACAAATGTTTCAATGAGTCCTAACATTAGGCTGTAATACAATATTCAGGTCGATATATGATAATTCGGTTATATCATCAAGATAACGGTTATGAAACGGATAATTTCCACATACTCAAACAGATGAATAAAAAGTACTGACAAACAGTCTCTCAACTGCAATAGAGACAGGTTGAACCAAGTCTACGGGCCCGCACATGCAAGGGGCACCTACCTCCAGAAAAAATGCAAGAGAGCGTTATGTTAAAAATAATAAAATTTCCTGCTGGAAGGGCCTCAACCCATTAAGGTCCACGGGCCCATACTCATCTAGTAGATCCAAACTACGAAAGTCATTGTTACAGCGTGGCATAAGATGTTTCAGCAATATTGTCAAGACTAAAGTAATAAAACGGATAATTTCCATATGGTTAAACAGCTCAATACTATACAAACACTGACAGTTTAAAGCCTTTGTCACAGTGTGGTATGCACATATTCTACGACACATCGCATACCCCGAAGCAGCAGAAATGTTTTTACATACGTTATATTTCGGGGAAGGGAGGATTCGCCCAAAATGTACAGGCCTAGGATGGAACAAATACTCCATTCAGAAATTGGAATAAGCTGTCTAGAACTGTCTAGTATAAGGTATTTCAATTAGGTTTGTTGATTATACAAAAATTATACATTATGTTTTCATACAATTATAAATAACATATACAAGTTAGACAATATTAGTACCATACATAAATACTAATCATATTATGCAAATTACCGTTTGAATCATTTTAATTCGCTCTGTTGAATATGAGAAAATCCATCTACAATTATAAATATATGCATGTACAATTATATATAATAACAAAACATGTTCACTGTTAAAATAGTGCTCAATACATATAGAGCTATATAGAAATACCACTGTTAAAATAGTGCTCAATACATCAATTGTAGAGTGATATAGAAATACCACCGTTAAAAAAGTGCTAAATACATCAATTATAGAGAGATATAGAAATATTAAAACAGCTTTTGTACCATATTATATAATATTTTCACTGTTAAAATAGTGCTCAAATATTAAGGACAAGGAATAAAATAGGTCAGTTGTCTGAAGATCACAAGGCGTGAAAATCAGAATAACAACCTGTTCGGGTTCTATGTTAATATTGGTTAATATTACAATTGTATACAAAGTTAGTCAATATGGTACAATGTTACCCAGGGTTAGCTAACAGTGGATTACATTAAAACTAGGACAACCTCCACTGAAACAAGACATCTGATTGGTTTGTTTCTAGGTTTATCGACCCACTATAGATCAAGGTTAAATATCACCCCAGCCAACCAGTCAGCCAGCCAGCCAGCTATTTGACACCTCTATTCTAGCTGCAAGATACAGCTTTTTAAAGTGCAGAACTAGATTTTTGGTACTTGCTTATACACGGAGGTCTGCAATGGCCATCCACAATCATGAAACTAAATGCCAATCTACTAGAAACAATCTTTTGAAATTCCACATTTTGTACCTTTAGTATTTTGTTGGTGGATGTCCATTGTACATTTGCTATCATATCATATCATCATATCATATCATCATTGTACATTAATCATAAAGAGAAAACACTCAGATCAACGATTCGAACATTCTAATTGCTAGATGCAATCTATCTACAGCGCAAAGAGTATTGTTTTGTTTCGTATTTTTCTGTGGGTGGATATCTCTGCCCCCTTGACATCCAAAATCATGAAAACAAATACCAAGCTACTAGAAACAATCTTTCGAAGTTGCAGACTCAAATCAACTTTCCCCAAAAATGGCGCATCTGTCCCTTTCAAATGCAGATGTACATTTCCTGTGTTTGGATGTCCCTTTCCCCATAAAAACCATAAAAAACACCTGGATATACAAGTTGACACTAGATATAATATTATTACAGAGCAGATCTAGATGTTTTGTATCTTTTCGTGTTTTTTCTGTGGATGGATGACTCATTTGTCAAATTGACAGCCAAAAACATAAAATTAAATGCTAAGATCTGACAGTTGACACTTCAAACTCTCTGACACAATTTGATTAAAATACGAATCTAGATGTTTCGTGTTTTCATGTGTTGTTTCAAAGTTATAATCTGATAAAACTGCTGATCTTGATGGTTTCTTCTTGTTGTTTCTATGGGGGTGTGCTTGTTTTCTGTAGGTGACTTTACTTGTCACATAAATACATGAAACACACATCAAAATCTGCCTTGGTTCAACCATTCTCTAGTCGAGCCCGGATATCAACGAAGATAGCTGACTGTCCAATCTGAGCAAAATTAGACTGTTTTCATGATAGGATTAGCCTCCCCGACCTGTATTAAATAGAGGGGGTAGCCGGGTTGAAAAATCCGAATGTATAACTCAAACTATGTTGGAATTGAAACCTCGTGAACTGCTCAGGTTAGCGAGCAACAGAACTGTCTGACCTTGAAAATAGTTGCAAGCAATCGATTCTGTATTTTATCGTCGAATCTGAAGCAGACAAACAGGACGTAAAACTTCATCTCAATAAAAATAGTTAACAGTCAGTACTGAGCTTATAATTATCTGTATTCGTGACTTGGGACATAGATTTCCGATAACATGTAATTCGACCCACTGACCTCAGACAATCGCTCAAATAAAAGTAAGATATTGATGGGTGATTATAGATAAGATAAAGATATCCTTGACAGGACAAAGAGTGACCTCTCGAGACCTTGAACTCTGTCGTTGATCACTGTATACAGACCAGCGTCCTTGTTGTGATCTGGGTGGGTGTGAAAATCACTCTTGGTTTTTCCATTGCAGGGACAGAGGCGCCATTCTTTTTGACCAATCATACTTTCGTCTCAGAAACAGATTTTTTTTTAGCTTAGCCAGTCAGTAATAGTGTTAACAGCTCAACGTCGAAATTTGGGCATTCAAATTCAGAATTATTATTGAATGTTTAAATGACGACTCGTCATTTCAAGATACTCTGTGATATAAAGAAAAGACATATAGAAAGAGTGAGTAAAATTCCTAGTATGAGATATTTTTGAAGGAATTATACGATTTTCGTACATTTCTAGTACTTCTGAAGACTATTACATATTTTCAAGACCAAAATTAATCCCCAAAAAGTGTCATACTTGTCTCTTTAATATTATTAGAGAGAGTAATCTTTGTTTTATGAACATCTTTTATGGCCTTAAAGAATTTCAAAGTTCGATTTTCCAAATCTTTCACCATAACGTTCAATTTAAACTCTGCTTTTAGACTCTAATGAATATATTTACCAAACTTATCAATTAAATCGACACATATCCCCACTAAAGAGTGAATATTCTCATGAAAACTTAGACGACACGACGATACAAATTCTAAAAAAAAACTTTTACAACGCAATTGCGGAAAAATCTACTTAAACTTTAAACTCGTATTACACGTTTGTTGCGTTAAAGTGGGGATATATTACTTGGTTTATTTAGGAATAATATAATATTCAGTTAAAGCTGAACGTTATGATTATAACGGATAATGATTTTACAATGTTTACGAAAACCTGTAAAGCTTTGTACAAAAAAGAGACATGATTGTTTAACTATTCCAACTATTTTGAAGCTAATGCATACTTCTCCTTCACTGCAATGTTATCTAATCTAGATCTACATTCTAGACTAAACAATTCATCTTTCACCGTCCAGTGACGTTACATCCGGCAAAAAATGAATTAAAATATCTTAAAAATAATAAAAATGTCACGACTGAGGTCTGATAAAT